CCCCCCCCCCCCCCCACTGATTGGCAGAGGGCCCTGGTGGCCCCACCCCTTGCTGCTGAATGGCCAGGAGACAAAACTGGAGCCAAAAAGCATGGTTTTAAATGCCACCTGGCTGATTAACAGCAAGTGGTGAAGCCAGTGGGGCCCCTCTGCCAATTAGCAGTGAGGGGGTGGGGAGGACTATGCAGGAAAAACATCAAGATTAAAAGAAGCCAGTGTAGCACATTTCTGCTGTGATTTTAGGTAGGTCCCTAGTTACAAGAGGAGGTAAATTCTGCACGACCAGGGACTTAGATTATTCATGTCTGGGTGTTTGATTTTTTTTAAGATCACATGCTCTGTTAAATGACTACAATTCCACTAATGTAAGCGGCAATGCAAAATAAATTGTTCTCACTGATCTAGAATTGTATGAGATGTACTGATAGCGCAATACACAAGTAGAGTTGTGGTGGTAATGTCTACTTGCCTGCTGTTCGAGTTTTGATGCTCCAGCCACAATAAGAACAATTATGTTACCAACAGCCACAGTCAGCAACCAGCCTGCCTGCAACACTGACTTCATGTTGGAAGGGGCCTGCAGAAACAAGATATTTTAGAGTCCAATTGCTTTACATGGAAAAATTTTTTTTTAAACAACAAAAAGCAGATTTACATAAAAATCTTATTTAGTATTCCAAAATTCAGATGATTCTGGCTTTTGACAAGAAGTGCCTTTCCTATTCAATACTGGACAGTGGGATGAATTGGGAAGAGCAGTAAAAAAAAATTTCCAGAATTACTTAAAATTAGGGGTGCATTGAAAGATTTTCATGGCCAATATGGATAGCTGATGATTAACAAGCCATAACTGCTGATGTGAGAACAGATATTTAGTAATGGTGCAAGGCATTTTAAACTTTTTTGTTGTTGTTTGTTTGCTTGTTTTGCATTTAAAACATCTCCTGCCAGCTCCAGGCCTTGATAAGGAAGGCAGCGACCGTCTTATTCCCATGCATGTTACCTCCTCACCCATGGCTCCTACCCAAGTCTAGTTCTCTGCACAGCCTGTGCTGCTGTCCCGAGTGGGAGGGGTGGACCCTTGCGTGGCCAGCAGAGCCAAGTACATTTGGAGCCCCAGAGCATGCTGCTGCCACCTCAGTAATGGCAGACCCTGTGCAGCTGAGTTCCCATGGTCCCTGGGGAGAAGCCACTTTTGCAAAGGCACCCAGTGAAGCAACATGTCACTTGCACAGCACCTAACCCTGCCCACACACAGCCCAATGTCTTCACAGCAGGAGCAGTCCCTTTGTTGCCGAGTGCAGTACCCTGTGACCACTCCCCAGCACCTTGCCCCTCCTGCTGCTTGCCAGGACCTGTAGTCTGCCACAAGACTCTACTGCACCCATCAGGGTGCTCTGGGCACATGGCTGTAATTAGATTGGCACCAATAACAGGGGAAATTATGTTATCAGCTATTTTCTTCTTTTTTGGTTGTTGTAGCCAATCTGATAGCAAAAACAGATACCAAAAAAATATCAATGTACCCCTATTTAAAATACCATTTTACTCAACTATAAAAGATGAACCTAAATATAAAACAATACCCCCAATAATTAGATGTTATGTATGGAAGATGTATACATTTGTTAGTTTTCCAGGTATAGGATCTAATTATTAAAACATTTGCCTTGAATTTGCTCCCCCCCCCCCAATAAAAATAGGGAAAATTAGAACAAACCAACAAAAAACACCACACAATAAATCAGGGGGGGAACCCTCTTGCCCTCTACAACTTCCCCAGGCCCCTCCTTATTGCTCTCCCTAAGCACAAGAAAAAGTAGGGCCAATTTGAAATATACCTCTAGTAATTTGCTTTAAGGGTACCTATAGAGTTAGTTTATCTAGAATTGATGCATTTTACCTTCTCTGAAGCTGCTAGAAGTTTAAAGCACTTTTGTACCTACTTTTATAGTACAAGCTATGCATGATTAGGCCAAAGCTAAAGCTCACGATTTACAGTTCAGTGGGCTGGGCCCCAGCAGAGGGTCAGCGTTTCAACTCATGGTGACCCCATAGTTCAGCATGTGTGTGTAATCAAAATACACCCCCTGCCCCCACAAGGATCCAGGTTTTAAATTAGCCCCGAGTCATGACTGGAACCGAGTGTTCTTGTTGGGAGTCCTGGGATCCTCCAAAAATATGCGCGACGTTAAGGCGCAAGGCAACATGGTCTAGCTTCACCTTATGGAGGACAGGGCCACATTAATCATATGCAACAGGCTGAGAGAGGGGGTGACAAAAGGATTCTGGGTGAACTGTTTGGGGCCCTGTTTGGTGATGTTTGCCAGACATTTAAGCCTAGTGAAGAACATGAATAGTTGGAAGTGGGAAAGAAAGAGTGCAACTTAGCTGTGGAAGTGAAGAGGTAGTTGAAGTGTAAATCAGTGTAGTGGCTCACCATCCCTTGTAAGAAAGTTGGTGCTGAGAGGGACTGCACACAATGGGTTATCATGCATCTTACTCATATGGTCTACGCTAAATCTATCCTTGTAGTAGTCTGTCATTGCTTTTTTGGTAACCTGGTAGGAAAAGTATCATGCATCTGTGTGCATGAAGCCAATTTTCCTAACAGATGCCCAGGGAAAACTGTTCTTCTGGCATAGTTCAGTACCTGCTAAAGTATAGTGGCTTTAAGCCTACTTTATAGGAGTCTCCTTCTTAGCTTGCTCTGAAGGCCTTATGGCTGAGGGCAAGCTAAACTCAGGGGCATCCAAACCCCAAGTCTCTGGGATTAGGCCTGCAAGTAGGATGCCCATCAAAGGATTTGGAAACATCTGAAGACCCAGGTGTGGGTGGAGGATGTTGGTCAGTAGTAGGGCCACTTATAGTTCTGGACTCTTGGACCTGTAATTAGCTTTGGCTAATTTGGCCTGGGATACATAAAATTAAAAACAAAGAATTGTGGTAGTTTCTCAAATCAGCATACTTGCCGAATATGGTCCATGTGTTTTATCATCATGCTCAGTGGCTATACTTAAAAATCATCTTCATAGCAAGTTTCCATTACTAAGCACATACTACTTCTAAAAAATGACAGAGAGCATTTAATGAGGTCATGGTTGGCAGGGTTAACCGGACCTTGTCGTGCATCCACAGGTGCATCTCAAGTAGAGCCAGAGAGGTGATCCTCCCCCTCTATGTGACACTAGTCAGGCCACAGCTAGAGTACTGCATCCAGTTCTGTGCACCCTATTTCAGGAGGGATGTGGACAACATTGAAAGGGTCCAGAGGAGGGCCACCCACATGATCTGGGGACTACAGGGCAGACCCTACATTGAAAGACTGCAGGACCTAAACCTGTTCAGCCTCCACAAGAGAAGGCTGAGGCGGGGACCTGGTGACTGTCTATAAACTCACTAGGGGGGGGGACCAGAAGGGTTTAGGGGAGACACTGTTTCCCCGAGCATCCCCTGGCATGACAAGAAACAATGGACACAAATCATTAGAGAGCAGATTTAGATTAGACATCCGCAAGAACTACTTCACAGTTAGGGCAGCTAGGAGCTGGAACCAACTTCCTAGGGAAGTGGTGCTGGCTCCTACCCTGGGGATCTTTAAGAAGAAGCTTGATGCCTACCCGGCTGGACTCATTTGAGTCCAGTCTTTTCTCCCGCCCAGGTGGGGGGTCGGACTTGAAGATCTACAAGGTCCCTTCCAACCCTACTTCTATGATTCCATGAGGTTTCCTTGTATGCAAATAAGATGAGGCTTTCCCCCACGCTGATTGGGGGGGGACTTCATCTTGTATGAAGTATTGCATTTGCTCAAATACATTTTGAGCATGTGTTCATGCAATGCAGAACTGTCACAATCTATTTTTAAACACATTTCACTATAGTAACCTCGGGGGGGGGGGTTGTTTTGTTTTTGGGTGTTGTTTTTTTGGGGTTTTTTTTTTTTTTTTTTTAAATGATTCTATGAAATTATCTATTTAAGCTCTCAAAATGCACCATCAGGGCCTACAAACAGGAGATTGATGATTACTACTAGGCCCTACACTTGAAGAATGGAGAAGGAAGAGCACACAAGCCCATCAACAGGATGAAGGACAACAATGAAAACAACCTAGAGTCCCATCCTGGAGTTGCCTGGAAGATAGTCGTCTCCAGCCCCAAGGTACACACCAGGGTTACCCCTCCCCTGGAACTACAAAACAGGTAAAATGTGCCCTTCACAGCACCAGCAGAGTCATCAGCAGAAGCACAGACTCTAGAAGAAGCAAGATAGCCAGTCCCTCCAAAGAAGAGGCACAAGGTGGTCATGGTGGGCAACTCCCTCCTGAGGGGGACCGAGGGAGTGATGTGCTACCCTAACTGCTGGGCCCCCTTTGGGCCCTGGGGGAGGCTCACCTCGGCCTAGGGTGAGCGAGGATTTAGTTAGGGAGCTTCTGGAGGGGCTGGACGTTTTTAAGTCAGCCGGCCCGGATGATCTTCACCCTAGAGTCCTGAAGGAACTGGCTGGGGTCATTGCAAGTCCCCTGGCGCGGCTTTATGAACACGTGCTCTGGAGGAGGTGCCGG